CACACTATAATCAGGTCATTTATTGTGCTGGAGATTGAGCTGAGCCCATGCACACTAAGCAAATACTCACTGAGCTGCCAGTCCTCACTTAGGTCATATGTGGGTGTGACAGCCTGAGACTCTTAACTCTCTGTTTCTCGCTGTCGCACCAGATCCAGGTGATCACCCTCCTTGGGCTTGCTATTGGAAGCTCATAATAGAGAAGCTCAAAGGAATTTATCAGCCAGAGCTAGGATGCTCTAAGGAAACCAAACTGGGAGGAAGGCAGCCCACAGAGACAGAGGAATCAAGGCTTGTTGGTGTCCTGGAACCTTCTGGAAGCCTCATCCCTGCTTTGTGGCTGACAGTCTACAGCCTCTCTCACTCACAGCTTCATATATCATAAAACTTCCCAGAGAGACTTCATTGTCCCTTGGCTCTTTTTCTCTTTAACAATAGTGAATGAACAATTACGCTAATCCACACCACAATCCCAACTGCTACCCTGTAGCACTGAACAAATTACTCAGTGACAAAATACGTACATAGCAGGACAAATCCTTAGACCAGTGAGAAAGGAGATAGGAATAAACGGCATTTTCCCTGGAAGACCAATACGGACTCTGACCACTGTTTGGTCGCATAGTCCACAGCTTTGGGAGCTATTGGGAGTGGACACAGCAGGAGGCTTACTTCGAGGTCCTCGATGTTTCCATGGCTCAGAAGGTGTGCCCTTAAAGATTATAAAACTCTGCTTTCTTATTTGCTCTTTGTCTCTGGTTCTCAGCTACCTGGGGTCAGCAGAGTCCTTACCACAACCCAAACTCAACAGAATCTGGCAAGCATGGGCTGAAACCCTTTAGCGGAAAGAACCCTTTCCCCTGTATGAGTTGATTATCTCAGTATTCTGCTGTCGTAACAGAATACTGACTCCCCTCCCATCCTTCTAGAACTGCTATGCCGTTAGAGGATTCACCAAGCTGAAATCTCATTTACAACATCTGGAACCCAACAGCTCTAATAGTCAAGGCCAGGGCGTGGAGAGTCTGTGAAACATCATTTAATTCACCAATTTCCACATAATTTAGCAGAAATACTAACTGTAACTTGAGTCTTTCATTTTTCCTGGAATTACAGAGACAGTTTCTTGTATCTAAAGTACAAAGTACACTGTGAAAACTAGTTACCAACAAGAAAACCTTTCAGAGGAAAAGCTTTCTTCTACTGGAGAATCCCTGAGTATATCTTTTTTTCTGGAAAAAAAAAAGTACAAAAAGACATCAGTCTTGAATAATTTTCCTCGTTTTCTTTCCATTTTGAATGGTGGTAGTGTCAAATATCCATTCCGAATTGGATTCCTGTATGCTGCATTGATTGCACTTCTGACGTCTTTATCTTGCAGCTTCTCCAGTTGGCCAGTGTGTGGTCAAACGCTTCTTGCTCTGACACATACCGCTGGACCCTTCACAGCTCACATTTTACTTGTACACTAGGCTGCCTCGTCTCTCCCTTCATGGCTGCCAGACTCCAAGTCCTGTGCTCTTCCTCGTGGTCTTGGTTTCCTTGAGCAGAATGTTGGCTCTTCTCTCCTATCTGAAAGATGTACCACCTCTGCTTGTCTGGCTCATGGATTCTCAGGACCCCAGTTCCCCATTCTTGAGCTCCTTTCCCTTCAAACTTCTGTGTGTTCACAATTATTTCAGATTCCACTTCAAACTCACCTGGTATTGCCATCTCTCTCTTTTTAACCCCTGCTCTTTCTGCTTTGTCTATTACTCAATCTACTGGTTTGGAAGCATGACAAAGCCCACGTTAAGCTATCTCACAAACTTTAAAGTCAGTATGAGAAGAGTGAGTACTGAGCCTACTGGCTGAAGATCTTTTTGTAGGTCCTTGAGATGAAATGAATGTTGTTACATTCATATTTTGTAGAATATGAGGCGTACCATGGCCTGTGTATAATTCTTAGATGACAACACGCAATAATCTCTCTACTTTCTGCTAACTTCCATTTTCACTGATATGTGAACTCAGTTCTAAGGAGAAAGTAGCAACGACTTCCCACGCACTAGTGAATGGGCACCCATTTAGTGATTAATCATGTCAGATGGTGCCCGTGTCTGAAAAGGCACTGTGGCAAAATACCTCAATTCTCTTACACACCAAAAATAAGGCAGCTAAGCAGTTATTTCTCTCTCTTCTTTAGCCATCTTTATTGACCATTCATGTGGCTGCTCTGGTGCCTGTTGGAAGTCCTCTGAGGGACTCTTTAAACCAATTGTATGTGTGACAGCTGGGAAGATCATCTCCATCCGTATCAGAGAGGCAGGCTCATCACATTCTGTGGGTAAACTGATTGCATTCTTGCCACTTCAACTCTCACTGGATTTCTTCCAAAGGGAATTTACAAAGAAAGTAAGGAGTGGAGAGAGTCTTTATCTTTCATAAAGAAATTTTTTTCCTCCTTTTCAAGATCTTCATTCATCTAGAAAGAAGAGTTTTGCCTAAGGCAGGGGACTCAAGCGGGGATTGAATTCAGAACAGTGAAAGAAGCTAGCCTTTAATTCATGCAATATTTAGCTAGAACTTCCTCATCGTTGGCCTTATAGCCAAAGGTAAAGGACGTAGAGGAGTTCCCAGGGTTATATTTCATTATTAAGTAATCTGGTCTCAGGCTTCTGCCAAAAAATATGTTCACAGATTGAAAGGGTAGGTGTCTAAGAACTGCTGAATAATAAATCTGTTGTCAGTATTAACTTTTGGATAAGTCAAAATTCTAAAGTTGAACTCCAAGAAGAGAATCACACAGATGGGTCGAAAATTCTCTTTTGGAAAGTTTGCTACACCTACTTTCCGCCTGGAGCAGCATGTCAAATGCCCTGTGGTCTGTCTTTAAGAAAGACAGTGCCTCACTAACTTATAGGCTCCAGGCCTAGTTAATTTTGGTGTATGGTTTGTTTTTCATTTGTAAGGGTTTTTTTTTTTCAATAAAATTTATAAATATAAAGAAAAACAACTTCGGGGCTGGAGAGATGGCTCAGCAGTTAAGAGCACTGTCTGTTCTTCCAAAGGACCTGGGTTCAATTCCCAGCACCCACATGGCAGTTCGTAACTGTCTGTACCACCAATTCTAAGAGATCTGACACCTTCACACATAAAAAAATTAAAAAAAAAAAAGAAAAGAAAAGAAAAACAACTTCAGCTCTTGGAAATGCTTACTGCAATAAACAAGTGGCAAGGGTTAG